AAGTAAATAGCTGAAATAAAAAAAAATAAAAAAGTTTAAACAATTGATCTTCGTCTAGCATTAGCTGTTTTAACTAAATCATCAACTTCACTCCAATCAATATCAATAAGACAATCAATTATTTTAAGATCATCATAAATACAAGCAACATATTGACGACCAACTGTTGGAACTTCTGGTTTTATTGGATTAATTAAATTACCTTGACCACCTTCAGTTTCTTTATTATTGAGAAAAACAGGAATACTTTCACCTATTAAATAAACATAATATTATTTAAATAACGGGTGGTCAGAAATTTTTAGGACAAAATGTTTGCTCATTTTTTGCCCACTTCAAAATATTTCAGACGAATCGAAACCTATGGACTAGAACCAGAATTTTGTGCCATGTCAGAATACGGGATTAGAAATTTTGTGTCAGTTTTTGTTCGGGAGTAGTGAGAGAATCTTTGAAAGGTCAGGAAAAATTAGTTTGGGCGGAGCATGTGAGCCGAAATTTCTGGGCACGATGTTTGTTCATTTTGGCCTGCTTGAAAGTATTTCAAACGAATCAAAAGTTATAAGTTAGAACCAGAATTTGGCCCTGTTTCGGAATATGGCTTAGAAATTTTGTATCTTTTTTTGTTCAAGAGCAGTGAAGATATCTTTGAAAGGCCTTAAAACTTTATTTGGATGACGCACAAACAGTTTTTTCCTAATCCACATATATCCTTTTTCGAAGATGCTAAAAGTTATCGGACACGATAGTTTTGGAGAGCGGACACTTATTTACAAAGTGTTATATTGACTTAAGTTGTAGCTTTTTGCACAAGTAAAGTTGTATGTTTTTTGTCAGAAGCTCCTTTTTGTGGAAAATGCTTTTTGGTCAACAAGTCGATTTCTCAAAAATGAGAGTATAGGGAAAACGAAAATTCAGATGTCTTCCCTAACAACCAGAAAAAGCTCCAATAGTACATTTTGTAGGGCAAATTTCGCTCTACTACTAATAGAGTAATCAAGGTTCCAACTTTTAGTTTCGAATCACAATAGTTAAAATATAAAAAAAATTCGAAAAAATTTTCCGCCCAAACTAATATTTCAGACCTTTCAAAGATTCTCTCACTACTCTCGAACAAAAACTGACACAAAATTTCTAAGCCCATATTCTGAAATGGCACAAAATTCTGGTTATAATCTATAGGTGTCGACGCGTCTGAAATATTTTCAAGTGGGCCAAAAATGAGCAAACATTTTGCCCAAAAAATTTCCGACTACCAGTTGGTTAATTGATATGTTCTCTCTGTAAATTTAAAATATATCATATATAGACTTTTTTTTTT